CCTAACCCTAACCCTAACCCTAACCCTAACCTAACCTAACCCTAACCCTAACCTAACCCTAACCCTAACCTAACCCTAACCCTAACCCTAAGCGGCGTGGGGTTTTCGTGTATGCTGGGCGTTGTTTCGTGTGCGATGGCGGTGTAAGATGGGTGCTGGGCGTCGTTTCATGGGTGGCATGGGGTTGTCGTGTGCGCTAGGGTGTTTTCGTGAGTGTGGTGGGCTGTTTCTATGTCCGCTGGCAGTGTAGATGGGCGCTGGGCATTGATTCGTGGGCGGCGTGTCGTTTTCGTGGAAGCTGGGGTGTTTTCGAGGGTGGTGGGGTGTTTTCCTGAGCAGTGGGTGGTCGTCGTGTCTGTTGTTAGTTGGATGTAGATGATTTCGTCGCCATGGGCGACGTTGCACTTGAAAAACCCGTCAGCAATGAGAAAGCAGCAAGGGGACTCACGGGGTTGCAAAGAGGATGAATGACGACGAACCAATGTCATGGTTTGTCGTTGTCTCTCCGCCACGCCTTCGTTTGCCTCGTTGCGACGACATGCTCGCCTGGTCGTCTCGTTGTTACATGCCCGTTAACGGGTCATGTGCCGCCGTCGTGGTTGTTGTGGTTGTCATCCTAGATGGGCGGTCAGAAGGGGGCGGAGGAGAAACGTGATGGTGGGGGATGGGAAGGAATGAACGTTGGCTTTGTTTGGTAACACGAGTGAAATAAACAAACGATACATCCAAACAAATCTGTTGCATTCCGTTCCGTTGTGTTCCGTTCCTGTGGATTCCGGTGTCAATTCCGGAATGCCCAAATTCCGCCGGAATGATAAGGCACCGGAATGAAAAAAATTGCAGGCCTCCCTGCCAAATTTTATTCCTCCGGAATCCACCGGAATCCGCAGGAATGACCGGATTCCTGCAGGAATTAGGGGGGCACTGATAAGACCTCGAAAGATGGGTGGCTATTGTAAATTTTGGCCCTGTAGGAATGGTTACCCTTTTGGTTATGCAGCTAGACATTTGAAACTTCATCTACAAAAGGCTTTAGTTCATCGTACTAAGTATGTTCTCAATGTCTACTGTTTTCAAAGGAACGTGTGTTTTATGGGTGATTGGCTTGTAGAGTAGTTGACCAAGCGGTTGTGACGCGTTGATCGGGGCATTCACGCATGTTCGATGATGGCAATTGGGATAGCGAGTTGGGGTGTAGGGGTGCTGGGGTGCTGGTGGTAGAAGAAGACGTAGATGTCTTGGACATAGCCCAGTCACGAAGAAACACCCGAAAGCGCATCAACAACAACCCCTGCAACCTCGCAACACCCATCAAAATAATCCTTTCGTACTCCGGCATCTGTACCTCCCTCTCCACAACAGTGCAAACAACCACGCTCTTGGCTACACCACGGTGCGTGAGCGGGATACAACTGAACGTTCTCAGCAAACACTGAGGAGGTACCTGAAACGGGGAGAGGCTCGAACCCTCATGCACGAAAGAAAAGTACCTCTTCAGAGGAGTGGTCGTATATAGAGAGATAGGCTTGTTGTAACTTTATAGTGCGAGTAAGTTCGTGACAAGACAAATGCTCAGAGAAAAAACATACGCGAATCCCTTCCACGCGCCTTCCACAGCGAGATGCATCATCTCTTCCTGACTTTTATCTCCATTTCCGGGGAACTTCTTCACGATGATGAGTTCTGTCTTGCTGAGTATGAGAGCTAGCACGCCCTGCGGGACAAGCTTGTCCGCCAACATGAGGTCCGCGTGGATAGCGAGCATTTGATGCGTGAGTAGGGTGAGCAGGGTGCCAGAACCCAGCAGGATGATTCGCCAGATTTTGGGAGTGGGCGAGAAGGCGTGAATGTGTCGTGGGTTCAGAGGTTTGTCCACTGTCAGCTCGAGCATCTGTTCGTCCGAGACGGTAGCTAGTTTGGAGAGGAGCCAGTATTCACTCACTTGGGCGATCAATTTCAAGCGGTGTCGCGTTGGTTGTTCGATGGAGCGGTCGGGAGTGAGGACATCACTGTCCTCTGCGGGCACTTCGTCTGCATCGATGTCGTCCATCGCCTGGGATTCAGCTAACCTTCTCATCCGCCCTTCGCGACGCCCCCCTCGTAATCCTCGACGCTAATCGACACCCCTTCTATTAGTCGCCACGCCCACTTGCAAGGCATAGATTCTTTCGTCGTTGGGTGCAAGAACTGATGAGAGGAACTGAAAAGTTGCAGAGATCGGTGTGTCGAGTTCTTCTAGGCCTGAGGGGGAGAGGCTAAGAGAGTGTCCTTGGTAGATGCCAATGCAATGTTTGCGTCCTGTAAGCCAAGCATGCAGATCAACAAGCTGGTCCCAATCTATAAAGTCCAGTTGGCGTTCCTGGACGCGCCATTGATTTTTCTCACATGATGAACGCAGGCCGCCTTTTGCGAGAATGTATGCTGATGCATTAGCGTCGAAAGCTGCAAACGCCCACGATGCAGCTGATGGTCTTGTATGCTAAGAATTCCCCCCGTTGCAAAACAGAAAGAAAGAATGAGGGAGGCGCCTGCACGTAGGTTGGGGAACTCCGGAGGTGGCTATATGCATGCAATATCAATAGTTGGAGGATTAAACGAGGCAGTTGGTGTGGGGAACATTTGTTGTGGTTATATGCGGGAATAGTGAAATTTGTCGACTCGTCGAGGTAGTGGAAAGAGACAACGACCAAAACAAACATTCAATGTTCAACACGGATTTGAGGATCAATCTAACCAGAAACCCCCTTTTCACGTGGAACCCTGGGTTTCTTCTGCATTTGGTAGAAATCCCCCTTCCATCAGTCGATGGGTTATTTTGAGGAACCCCATGTCGGAGTTAAATTCCTAGATGCCGACGCGTGCAAATTTAAATTGATCTTGGCTCCCCGGGTCATGATGAGAAGAGAGCGCGACGAGTTGAACTCCATCATGCACATCCCTTGTCGCACACGTATCGTTGCACGATGCGATGCGCCCACTCAACAAGTGGTTACCATGGTAAATAATATTGGTTCATGGTCTACACGATGCTACAAGATGCAAACAAGATGAGGGTTTGGACGGGTAGCTATACTTACATAGATGTAGGAGAGCGGGAGTGGTTTAGGGATGCCACTGCTCCCTTCCATAGTCCCTTGCTACTTGAAAGGTTGATGACCCCTGCCGCCAACTTGAACTTATGCATGTGCATGTGGTGGACTTCAAATATTCTGAGCTCTGCTTCTTGTGGAAACAAGGTTTCTACGCAAGCACTTTGGAAACCCTGGGTTGTTCAGGGGAAACCAGGGTTTCTGGATAGTTTAATCCCAGATTTGATACCAACATCTCCACCAACTTTGCTAGCTTACCATTCGCGCGCCTGGGAATCTCTTGTTACATTTGCAGAGCTGTCCAGTTCTCCTGCTCGACATTCGCTGGGTGAGTATTTAATCTGTCATCGCTCATTGAGAATAAACCTGACACGGAATTGCAAGTTCACGCATGGCGCACAAGCTTTCAAACCGGTGGAGGGCTATCTATTCCGATTTGTTCGACTACTTTTTCGCTCACAGCCCTCGTGTCCTTGTTTTCCACAAACGTCTCCATCAGGAGAAAATCTCTTGAGTCAGTAGGTCAATGTAGCTCTAGTATTTATAATACCCTGGTAGTCTAGTCCCCCCCATGAGTCGCTCCGGTAGTTTACTGTGACATCTCAGTAGCCCAGATAGTTCTTCCCTTGCACCTGATAGCCCTCGGTACACCCTCCTTCCACTTAGGTAGGCACTGGTACACCTTGCTGCCAGAGCTAATTGTGTGTACTGAATCTACTGATTTCTTTGTAGATGGCCACTAATTTTCTTGTTTCCAAATTAAATTAGGGGTATAAATGGCATTTCGACTATCTAATANCANAAGGGGGTTCTACAATAACAGCCACACTAATAAAGAGGCTTAAAGCCAATATCCAAGAAAGTATGAAAGGTGAAAATAATGGATAACATTACACAGATGAAGGACACCAGGGTATCCTCATTCAGGTTCGGGAGGGAGCACTCAAGCATCGTTGATGTTGTTGTCCGTCATCATTGTCTTTGCATCGTCCATCGTCATGGCATTTTCGTCATGTTGTGCACTGTGGTTTGTCGTCTGTTATTCCGCCACCTGTATCATTGTCGTCCATCCATCTCCATCATCATGTAGCCATTGTCGTGTGTTGTTGTCATCATCGTCAGGTCACATTGCTCAATGTAGCAGAGGGCGAGGTGATGACATGGCGGTGGTTATGATGGCTGCTAAGTGGGTTGTGGCTATTACAAAGGGGAACAAGAGGAGCTGGTGGGGCTTACAATGTGATGTGCTCACCTGTCTACTGTGGACAGTGATGACGGCATGCATTGTCGCCATCTGGGATGACGTGGCACATCCGTGTCCCGTGTCGTAGTCGCATGGTAGTTCCGTATTGTTGTTGAGTCGTCGCTGTCCTGTGTTGGCGTTGCACCGTTGTTGTGTTGTGTCAGTCCGGACGACGAACAGCGAATTGGTTGTCATTCGTCGTTTGGTTGCCATGTCGCTTCTAGCGACGTGGCACCTGAACATTGTATGACTAAAGGAATGGGGGGCAGGGGTTGTGTTAGCTCACCTGGGTTGGCACACAACGTTGTCACTATCCTCGTTGTCACGTCGATGTTGCAGGCACTCGTTTTCTTGCCAGAGCTGGTGACGTGGCGTTGCTGTGTTGTTCTTGTGGTGTTGGGGCATGCCAGGCTGGTTGTGGGTGGTCAATGAGGGTTGTGGGTTGTGTTGGCCATTGGTGACGGTGGTGGTGCGGCGGTCGTGAGTGGGCGTCATGGATGATCGATGATGGTAGTGGTTGAGGAGTTTGTGGGCAGGTTGTGGGATGCCCAAATCAAGTGTGGCCAAACACCGACAATCAATGAATGAAATTTTGTCTAAGTCCTCACCTCAGATTTGGGCGTGGCTATGTGACAACAGCATCTAGTGAGCTCTGTTTAGTTGCTTTAAAAAGTTGTATGGTGCAGCTGCTAGATTGCTCTCTTGTCCACCCCCGAGATGTCTTGTGGAGCTGAGGGTTCGATTCACGGTGTTTGCACTATTTTTGACAATGTATATGACAGATGGTGAAATCCATGGAGTCTACTGAAATAGTCAAGCAACCTCAATATTTCGAGCAGAAACTACTTGGTCTACTGACACTGTAGGAACAACAATCAAGGTCTATGGGGAAATGAGTTGAAAATATTGGAAGCTATTGAGTTTATGAACAAATGAACTGAGTGTACCTGGACTATGGGTGCATAACCAGAGTTTATCAGCACTACTTGGAGCAATGGAAGCTACTGACTTTCTGAAGAAAACTACTGAGGGTACATATTCAATCAGAAAACTACATATACATTTTTTTTTTCCTGATGTCATCACCGTAATCCTGGTCCGCGGTTGATTTGGAAACCCACATCAACCACCCTTCGAGTGAAGTGAAAGATCACTGGCAACGAGAAACGGAGAGGCGATCATCAAGTTCGCTGAAGTTTATGTATGGGCCTGCTTTCATCAACTTTCCTCGAAGCGTCCATCTTCTGATCATCTATCTTACAGTTCACATTGTGCACCATACCCCCCCATGAACTCAACACAGGTGTTTTGGGATATTATTAGACCGGAAAGCTCCCTGTAACACCATGTTCAGGACGACGAACAATGGACCGTACATTTTTACGGCGCAGAGGAGAGGCTAGTCATGCAACAGTAGACGTTTTGTGCTGTTTATCAGGTGAGCATCCATGGTTCGAGTGACGCTTCCCTTTCTAAAGCACCATTACCAGAAGGTGGTTCACTCACCCATACCAACTCCTGCGGCGATCGGCTGCCCCGAACTTCGTGACGATGCCGTTTTTTGGTTCGCCCAACTTAGATCTCAGTCCTCCGCAGCTGTACCGATGGCTCACCGTAACGACAATAATCCAACCCAAGAAATTCCGGTGGTGGTGCACAGACGCCTCGTTGTGCTTCCATCATTCGATACTTCGATAGGTAGGACTTTGGATCTTCGATCGTAATCATTCCATCAGCCTGACAATAGAGTTTCGCATAACCGCTTGGTACAACATCATGCCTCCCCTCTTGATGATGAGCTAATTGGTTGGTCTTTTGTAGGATCTGCGAGGCGAGGCCTGAGCTGCAGGAAACCAAGATCATCCTTGCAATCCGTTGGCCGCAGTGGATCCTTGTCCTCCTACAGGATATGAATTACGATGGGATCTCGTGTGGATTAGTGAGGATGATAGTAGGGAGAGGGATGAGAAGGAATGTGAGGGACGCCGAGGCTGGATGACAGGAGGTAGAGCCGGAATGGCGTCTAGCGAGACAGGGATCACTAAGGTCTACTTGGATGGTGGTAAAGAAGCTAGGTATGTGTGCTCGTCTTTCAGCAATCAATGTAATTTAATGTTTATTTCAAGTTTCTGGTGGTGTCTCCATAGTGGATCTGCTGCTCTTGTGAATATCTGAAACGAAATAGCATGCCATCTCTTCGTCCCCTTGAGTCTGGTGAAAGGCGTTGTTTTGTTTCTTTTTCTCACACTTCTTCTTTGACCGCCGTCCTTTCCAGTGCCTCCTACGCTGAGGCACGCCACTGCGCGTTAACTCGGAGCGCTCAGCAGTTTGAGAGGAACAGACGTCAGCTGACTCTGTGAAACGATCTGTTACCCATCTGGAAAATTGACGCCGCACAGCATTCACAACTCTCTTCTGAACCACGATGTCTGATTCTAGTTGCCCTCGTGAAAATCGTTTGAAAGGAAAGTTCAAGGGGATGCTTGACTGGCTCATGGGTGCAGACCGCCCACGTAATGAACACCCACGCCCTAGCACTTCGAGGTTGGAGTTCATGATTTCCACCCTAGCAGATAGCATCCTGACGAGATTTAGGTCCACATTTATGAGGGTGCCGGAGGTTACGGGGGGAGGAACGTCTCTGGTGTGTGTTTATAATGCATGAATAAATTCTTTGGCTCATGCCCCTTGTCTTTTGGAATCCTAGAATGTATTTCCGGGAGCTCACAATTTCGTTATAAGGGATACAACACTCTATGTGGCGCAAAATGTGTGTAGTGTGACAACAGCTTTGATTGTTTGAGATATTGATCAGACTTACAAGATTGAGGTCCATGAACATGCCAGTGGGGGTCAAGATGATACACTCCTTGTTCCACAAAGACCCAATTCCAGTGCCTTATTTACAGGCCGTGAGGATGTTCTCAAGAGGCTGATGGATCACTTTTCACCTCAAGATCAAGTAGATAGAAGCAGGAAGTCTTTTTTGTTGTATGGTATGGGGGGTATCGGCAAGACACAGATTTGTCTGAAGTTTGTTGAAAAGATGGCTGAAAGGTAAGTTTCTTCACATACTATATTTCTGATCTTATGACTATGTAGTACATCTATATTCTCTCATGTTTTCTGGATTGATGCATCTTCTGAAGATACCATTGCCCTTGGGTTGAAGGGTCTTTGCTCTCATCCTGAGGCTAAAGCTGCTGGTGTCTCTGTGTCCTCTGAGTCTTCTGTGATCTGGATTGGATCTCTGCAGAGTGAATGGCTGCTTGTGTTTGACAACGCTGATGGTGCACCTGAAGTGGTAGAAAAATTTATTCCATCTGGTTCTCAGGGCAATATTCTGGTTACTAGCAGAAATCGATCTCTTGGGCGGGTGACATCTTATGAAAATTCTGTTGAAGTTAATCAGATGGCTGAAAAGGAAGCCATATCACTCCTGCTGAAAGCCAGCCATCTAACTGGGCATTCTGAAGATGTTTACAACATAGCTCAACAAATTGTAAATGAGCTCTGCTGCTTACCTCTAGCTGTTGATCAAGCAGGAGCTTCCATTGAAGCTGGTCTCTGCAGTATTGATAATTATCTTGAGCATCTCTCTCAACACAGGAAGAAGCTTATGAACCACCCTTCATTTAGGGGTGCATCTCAGTACAATCATACAGTGTATGAAACATGGGATTTGCCATTCAATGAAATTGAATCAAGGGCAAACAGGAAATCTGATGGGCATGGTAGAGCAGCTGCTCAGGCTGCTCTTCTTATTCTGGAAACTGCTGCATTTCTACATCATGAGAATATCATTGAGGCTGCCTTTGAAAAGGCTGCTGTTGAGTTCTCCAAAGGACTGCATAGTGGACTAGAAAAAGAAGTTGAAACACATATGAATAAATTGCTTCAGCTTGAAAAAGATCAGTCTTGGAATCAATTCTTCTTTCATGAAGGAGTTAGGGTTCTTATGTCCTTTTCTTTGATCAAGCAGCACTCAACCTCTGTAGAAACTCATGCCATTCATCCATTGATGCATCAATGGAGTAGAGATAGAATGTCAATATCTCAAAAGAAGCGCATGATGCAAGTGTCAAAATTGATTCTTGTGAACTGTATCACAGAGGAGATGACAGTTGAGAACATTGCATTCAACAGGCTTCTTGTGCCACACATCAAAGCCATTTACCAATTACAGGAGGAAAATGGCTTTGAAAGAGTGTTTAATGATAAGGAATATTCTAAGTTTAGTTATGTGTTCGATAAAGATGGAATGTGGAAAGATGCAGAATATTTTCAATATAAAATTGTAGAAGTAGGGATAAAGAAGCAGGGGCCAGAACATCCCAATACCTTGAGTAGCATGAATAATCTTGCATTGACATATTCAAATCAAGGAAAATATGAGGAGGCTGGGGAGCTGCAGCTGAAAGTCCTGGATCTGTGTAAAAGAGTACTGGGGCCAGAACATCCAAATACCTTGCATAGCATGAATAATCTTGCATTGACAGATTTCCATCAAGGAAAATATGAGGAGGCTGAGGAGCTGCAGCTGAAAGTCCTGGATCTTCATCAAAGAGTACTGGGGCCAGAACATCCAGGTACCTTGGTCAGCATGAATAATCTTGCATTAACATATTCAGATCAAGGAAAATATGAGGAGGCTGGGGAGCTGCAGCTGAAAGTCCTGGATCTGCATCAAAGAGTACTGGGACCAGAACATCCAAATACCTTGACCAGCATGAATAATCTTGCAATGACATATTCAGATCAAGGAAAATATGAGGAGGCTGGGGAGCTGCAGCTGAAAGTCCTGGATCTGTGTAACAGAGTACTGGGGCCAGAACATCCAGACACCTTGGGTAGTATGAATAATCTTGCATCAACATATTCGGGACAAGGAAAATATGAGGAGGCTGAGGAGCTGCAGCTGAAAGTCCTGGATCTGCATAATAGGGTGATGGGGACAGAACATCCAAATACCTTGACCAGTATGGGAAGTCTTGCATTGACATATTCAAATAAAGGAAAATATGAGGAGGCTGGGGAGCTGCAGCTGAAAGTCCTGGATCTGTGTAACAGAGTACTGGGGCCAGAACATCCAGCTACCTTGGTCAGCATGAATAATCTTGCATTCACATATTCAAATCAAGGAAAATATGAGGAGGCTGGGGAGCTGCAGCTGAAAGTCCTGGATCTGTGTAAAAGAGTAGTAGGGCCAGAACATCCAGATACCTTGGGTAGCATGAATAATCTTGCATCATCATATTTCAGACAAGGAAAATATGAGGAGGCTGGGGAGCTGCAGCTGAAAGTCCTGGATCTGTGTAACAGAGTACTGGGGCCAGAACATCCAGCTACCTTGGTAGCATGAATGATCTTGCATTTGACATATTTAAAGCAAGGAAAATATGAGGAGGCTAGGGAGTTGCAGGTGAAAGTCCTGGATCTGTATAAAAGAGTACTGGGGCCAGAACATCCAGATACCTTGACCAGCATAAATAATCTTCCATTCATCATATTCAAATGAAGGAAAATATGAGGAGGCTGGGGAGCTGCAGCTGAAAGTCCTGGATCTGCATAAAAGAGTACTAGGGCCAGAACATCCAGATACCTTGGGTAGCATGAATAATCTTGCATCATCATATTTCAGACAAGGAAAATATGAGGAGGCTGGGGAGCTGCAGCTGAAAGTCCTGGATCTGTGTAACAGAGTACTGGGGCCAGAACATCCAGCTACCTTGGTAGCATGAATGATCTTGCATTTGACATATTTAAAGCAAGGAAAATATGAGGAGGCTAGGGAGTTGCAGGTGAAAGTCCTGGATCTGTATAAAAGAGTACTGGGGCCAGAACATCCAGATACCTTGACCAGCATAAATAATCTTCCATTCATCATATTCAAATGAAGGAAAATATGAGGAGGCTGGGGAGCTGCAGCTGAAAGTCCTGGATCTGCATAAAAGAGTACTAGGGCCAGAACATCCAGATACCTTGGGCAGCTGAATAATCCCAGATCATCATAATAGGGTTGTAGCAGCATAGTATCACTTACCTACTTCTTGCATGACAGTTGCATTGTATTTACTTTTGTTTGTCATTTTGTATGTTGATACTTCTTAACAAATCAACTCTACTTGAAACCACAACATCTATATTGCATGTGGCTGTTCCAGGGTTACAGGATCCTCTACACATGACTCTGATCTCCAGAACTAGTGTTTAGAAGTCCGATCTCGTGACTGGAAAAACACTGTAACCAGACCGGACCAAGACAGCAAAAGACCAGACCTGCGGTTACGGTCTTTTATTTTTGAGATGTTAGGACCGCAAAAAAACTGGTTAACCTGAACCCGTCTTTTGTAACCCCTTAAATACCCTTTAAAACGCACCCAAGAACATACAATTTGGTAAAGAATTGAGAGAGATATGAATTAAATTGTAAAATATTTTTGGAAATAGTAGATGTACCAGATTTATTTTATAGAAACACCAATTCCCAACCGAATTTAACGTTCTTGGGCTCGTTTTAAAGCCAGTAGACATGTTAATAAATTTACTGATTCATAATCTTAAAATATTAGCCTAAAGACCAGTCATAGACTGGTTAAAACTGGTGCAGACTGAAACTGGTCTAAAGACTGCAAAAAGACGGCAGACTGTGGTCTTTTGCAGTCCAGTCCAGTCTTTTTGACTTCTGGGAAAAGGGTAGACCGATTATGGTTATGGTTAAAGCCCCTGGGCGTCAAAAGACCAGACCAGACCAGACTTTCAAACACTATCCAGAACCATGTCTCCCACTCCCTTCCACCTCCGCCATCTCGCCAGCCTGGACTTGTCAGGAAGTTGAGAACAATGAAAGAAATTTCAAGAGTTAATGAGAAGACCGTGACATGCGGGAGTGAGGAAAGTGCAATCAGATGTGCTGACAAGATGTGTGAACACCTAAACAACACCCACACACACTAACACCTTAAACACTTATTACCATAGGTATGTGCTTGGTGCTTTGAGTTTGGGTTCGTACGGTAAATGGAATTACCACACTTGTTTTGTTAGAACTTAAAGTAGAAGTTCAGGGAAACAGTTTTGTATATTTTGTAACACTTGTCTAAGTCTAATAGACCATTTGGAACAAATGGTATTGTTTTTATGTGCAGGCACAAGTATAGAATTCAAAACTTAATAGTCTTCAAAGCGAAACAGCTTTTATTGGGACTATCTCAGTGTTCTGGGATTGTGTTCTAACTGTA